TTGGATGATGTAAAACTCGGTTCTGTTTTTCAAGACAAAAATGCTATGATCAGATGTTTTTGCTTAGCAGCTATTAAGGAGCACATTGAGTTCTATGTTGACAGGTCAAGTAATACAAAATACTCTTTGGTATGTACTGATAAAAAGTGTGGCTGGACTGTTCGAGGTTCAAGAATTAAGGAATCAACACTATTTGAAGTAGTTAAATTTCAAAGATCACATGAGTGCTCGGTTGACATTAGAAAGTCAAATCAAAGACAAGCAACTTCAAATGTGATTAGAGATTACATGATTGACAACTTAAGGGACATAGCTACTGAAGTAAAGCCTAGGTTTGTCATTTCAGAAATGAAAAGATCACATGGAGTAGATGTTGCTTATGGAAAAGCATGGCATGCTATTCAAAAGGGGTTATCGTTATTAAGAGGAACAACTGAACAGAATTATGAGTAGTTGGCATCATATTTGTATATGATCGAACAAAAAAGTCCAGGATCATATACAAATATTCAGAGAGATTTAGATAACAGGTAAATTTCTTATGTTTCATTACAATATAGTGGCCTTCGTATATATGATGTAATATTTTATATGGGAAATCTGTATTTTGATTGTCGTTTTTGCTAATGTTTTTTGTTTATTGAATTTAGAAATAAATTTTGTCGAGTATATTATACTGAAATCTCGTGTGAATCTTGGTCCTGCAGTATGTTATATTGGATGAATATTATAACATCCTTGAGTTTTGTTTTACTCCAGTATATTTACGGGACTTAGGCCGTGTGTAAGCTTTATCTCCAGTATATTATACTGGATGCATTCTGTTTAAACTAGAACTTTGTTTTATTTGTCCTTACTTTTTCGAGTGATTATTTGTCTTGTTCTTGTATTATGCTCTTTAATACAGTGTATAATACTTGAGTTTTGTTTTATTTCAGTATATTTTAATGCAAGTGTGTCGTCTTTAAGCTTGTTTTCCAGTATGTCTTTAATCTAGTATCTGATTTGAGTTACGTTTCATTATAATATACTGGCCTTCGTATATAAATATGATGTAATATTTTATATGGGAAATATGTCTTTTTAGTGTGGTTTTTGCTAATTTTTTTTTTGTTTATTGAATTTAGAAATAAATTTAGTCCAGTATATTATACTGGAAGTCTGTCTTGTGTACGTTTATCTTCCAGTATGTTATACTGGATGAATGTTATCATATAGTTTAGTCTTGTTTCATCCCAATATATTTTACGGGATGTCTGCTGTGTATAAGCTTTGTCTCCAGTATATTATACTGGATGATTTCGGTTTAAACTAGAACTTTGTTTTATTTGTCCTTACTTTTTTCGAGTGATTATTTGTCTTGTTTTTGTATTATTGTCTTTAACCCAGTATATAATTGTAACGACCCGACCGGTCGTTTTGAGCTTTTGGACCTTGATCGCTAGTTCTCGGGCATGACTTGCCCCGTGTTATGTATTATGACTGATGTAAATCATTGGATTTGGTTTTCAGGAAAATTTGGAATGAATTTGAAAGAACAGTCTCAGTTGAAAGCTTTGAATTTGGAAGGTTTGACCAAGAGTTGACTTATTTGTATATGAGCTCGGATCGGAATTTTTATGAATTGGTTAGCTTAGTTGGGTGATTTGTGACTTAGGAGCACGATCGGAATGCATTTTGGAAGTCCGTGAAAGGTTTAGGCTTGAATTGGCGAAGTTGAGATTTTGGCGATTTCCAGTTGGTAGGTGAGATTTTTATATAGAGGTCGGAATGAAATTCCGAGAGTTGCAGTAGCTTCGTTATGTCATTTGGGATGTGTGTGCAAAATTTCAGGTCATTCGGACGTGGTTTGGTTGGGTTTTTGATCGAAAGCGTATTTCAGAAGTTTTTGGACAACTTAGGCTTGAATCCGATGTGTTTTGAGTGATTTGATGTTGTTTGAGGTGTTTTAATGATTGGAACAGGTTTGAATGATGTTATGGATTATGTTGGTATGTTTGGTTGAGGTCCCGAGGGCCTCGGGTGAGTTTCGGGTGGTCAATCGGACCATTTCATGTTGGGAAAATTACAGGTTTTGGCTCCAGCTCTGTTGCAGATGTTTCCTCTTCGCGATCGCGTGAGGAGGCTCGCGATCGCGTAGAGTTATTTCAGAGGCATCCAGGTTTTCTTTTCGCGTTCGCATAGATCGGGTCGCGATCGGGTAGTTTTCCGTTGCTGTCAATCGCGGTCGCGTGTCATCATTTGCGATCGCGTAGTTGGGAGATTCTGAGCATCGCGTTCGCGTGAGGGAGTACGCGATCGCGTTGTGTAATTGTGGGTTGTGCTTCACGATCGCGAGGGCTTTTCCGCGATCGCGATTAAGTAAAATTGAGTGCTGGGCAGAATGTTTTAAAAACACATTTCCGCGAATTTGAGGCTAAGTTCCTCCATTGTTGGTCGATTTTGAAGCTTTTTGAAGAGGATTGAAGAGGGATTCAAGGGGAATTACCTGGAGGTATGATTTTTGAACTTAAAACTCGTTTTTATTGTGTAATCTACCTAGAAATTCATGGAAACGTAAGCAAAAATGGAAGAAACTCAGGCTTGGGATTTTGAAATTTTATTTGGGGATTTGAAGGACCAATTGGGGTCGGATTTGAGAACTTTTGTTATGTATGAACTCGTGAGGAGGTAAGGAATCTAATGATGTGAAAATTTCTGAGTTTTGAGAAGTGGGCCCGGGGCTCGGGTTTTGCTAATTTTAGGATTTTTGATATTTTTCCATTGTTTTCGCTTGGGCTTTGTTCCCTTAGCATATTGTGACGTATTCGTTCTGGTTATGGATAGATTCGATGCGCGTGGAGGCCGATTCGAGGGGCAAAGGCATCGTGAGCTAGAGATATCGCCGGTTCGAGGTGAGTAATGATTGTAAATGATATCTTGAGGGTTTGAAACCCCGGATTTGCACATCGTAGTGCTATATTGAGGTGACTTGCACGCCGGATAGCGAGCGTGGGGTAGAGCACCTTTGGGGATTGTGACTTGGTCCGTCCCGATTGATGATTTTCCTGTGTAGTTGACTGAAACATATTTGTTTTCATCATGACTTGGGCTGATTGCCATATTTGGGCTTCGTGCCAGCTATTTGAACCCCTTCGGGGATGGTTGTTGATATTTCCTCACTGTTTTGATTTTATACTTGAACTCAGTCATGCATTTTTTCACTGTTTTCAAAACTCAGCCAAGTTTACTTGCTTTAACACTTGAAATGATATTTCCAATAATATTTTGGGCTGAGCATCATGTTTATTGTTGCCCGAGTGGCTTATGTGATTTTGTTGACTGAGTTAGGCCGATGGCCTGTATTGTGAGGATACTTTTGGATCGGGCTGCACGTCGCAGCAGTATATATATATATATATGTATATATATATATATATATGGATCGGGCTGCACGCCGCAACAGTGTTATACTGATATTGGTATGAGGCCAAGAGCCTAGATTTGATGCCACGAGATGGCTTGATATTGCGCTTGGGCCGTAAGGGGCCCCTCCCAGAGTCTGCACACCCCCAGTGAGCGCCGTCGACGATAAATGGATCGGGCTGCCAGCGATATGTGGATCGGGCTGTATGCCGCAGCGGTACTAGTAGTGTTCTATGTGTTTACTTTATTTCATTGTCTGCCATTATCTGTTGTCTGTGTTACTTCACCGGGTATCTACCTGATTGCCTAGCATTGTCTGTTGAGTGAGTGTTGTGCCCGAGGGGCGGATTTCTGTGCTTATCTGCACTAATTGTTTGCATTTATTCGCATAACCGTTGAAAAAGTCATTTTCAAAAGAGGTTTGAACTGAGCTAAGATGTTTTCTAAAGATTTCACAGTTTCACTGTTTTTCTCAAAGGGGTTTTATATTGCTTCTATACAGCATGATGATTTGCCTTACGTGATTTCTCACTGCTCAGTTATTATTTACCTTTATTACTCACTTAGTTGGAGTACTCACTTTACTCCCTGCACCTCGTGTGCTGATGCAGGTATTTATTCACCTGGTAGCGTGTTTTGGCTGATTAGAGGCAGAGCTATAGGAGTTTAGCGACGTGACTGCCAGCGTTCGCAGCACCGCTTCTCTCTCTGTTGTTCATTTTTCCTGTTCAGTGTATTTTTAGACCTTGTAGTTGTATTTACACTCTTATAGATGCTCGTGAATTGTGACAGCCCGATTAAGGCTGTGTTGGGTTGTACTTCCGCTAATTAATATTATTAAATCATATTTAGACCGCTTATTCATGTTTATCTATTATTGAAAAGGCGATATGGGTTAGTTGGCTGGCCTTGTCTTCACGAGAGGCGCCATCACGACCAGAGCGGGGATTTGGGTCGTGACAATAATACTTGAGTTTTGTTTTATTTCAGTATATTTTAATGCAAGTGTGTCGTCTTTAAGCTTGTTTTCCAGTATGTCTTTAATCTAGCATCTGATTGGACTTACGTTTCATTATAATATACTGGTCTTCGTATATAAATATGATGTAATATTTTATATGGGAAATCTGTCTTTTGAGTGTGGTTTTTGCTAATGTTTTTTTGTTTATTGAATTTAGAAATAAATTTAGTCCAGTATATTATACTGGAAGTCTGTCTTGGGTACGTTTATCTTCCATTATGTTATACTGGATGAGTGTTATCATATAGTTTAGTCTTGTTTCATCCCAGTATATTTTACGGGATTTCTGCTGTGTGTAAGCTTTGTCTCCAATATACTATACTGGATGAGTTCGGTTTAAACTAGAACTTTATTTTATTTGATCTTACTTTTTTCGAGTGATTATTTGTCTTGATTTTGTATTATTGTCATTAACCCAGTATATAATACTTGAGTTTTGTTTGATTTCTGTATATTTTAATGCACGTGTGTCGTCTTTAAGCATGTTGTCCAGTATGTTATTTGTATTCAGCTTGTCATATGGTATAACTGAATGTTATTTACTTTTCCAGGTTTGTTTATATGTTTTTTATATATGGTGCATCAATTTCTGGGTGGAGGTATTGCAGACCACTTATTGCTGTAGATGTAACATTTCTAAAAAATAAATATAGAGGTATTCTATTAGTGGCTGTTACAAAAGATGCACATAACCAGATTTTCCCTATAGCATTGGGGTAGCGGATTCAAAGAATAACGAATCATATGAATGGTATTTCAGAGAATTAAGAAAAGCAATTGGGATTCGTAAAGATTTAATATTTTTGTCAGATCGACACAAGGCCATTGCAAATGGAATCGCAAAAGTTTTCCCTGAGTGCTACCATGGTATTTGCATATATCATTTGGAAAAGAATCTAAAGCAAAGAAGAGTGAGAAATACTGTACTAAACCTCTTTCAAAGTGTTGCAAAAGTATACCTTCAATCAGAATTTGATGACTTCATGTCCCAAATAGCTGCTGTTGATAAGAAAACATTCAATTATTTGATGGAGGAACCACCAGGAAGGTGGGCTCGTTCATATTGTCCAAGACGACGATATGATATGTTAACAACAAATATTGTTGAGTCAATGAATAATGTTTGGAGACGTGCAAGAGAATTGCCACTTTTAACAATGATGGATTTCATACAAGAATAATTGCAAAGTTGGTTTTATGAAAGAAGGACAACTGCAGAAGGAATATTCCGCGAGTTATCAAATTGGGCAGAAGCAACATTGGAAGATAAAATTAAACCAGCTTTTACATTTAGAGTATTGCCCATTAATCGACTCAAATTCAATGTCAAAGAAGGGGATATGAAATTTATTGTTGATATAGACAAAAGAACATGTGATTGTTCTGAATTTCAGCTAGATGAGATACCCTGTGAACATGCAATTGCTGCAATTGATAGTATATATCAGAAGAAATCAGCCTTTTGCTCAACCTATTATTCAAGGGACTTTTGGTTGAAAACATATGAAGGGCAAGTAAATTCTGTAGGTGATTCAACAACATGGGTTATACCAGACAATATTAAATCGGAAATCACTAAGCCTCCAGATGCAAAAGTAATGCTAGGAAGAAGACAGAAGAATTGACATGTTTCCGGTACAGAACTCAAGAAGGAAACAAGATGTGGTCGTTGCAAAAAATATGGGCATAACAGAACAAATTGTACAAATTCTGTTGTAGCTCATCCTTATGCAAGAAAATACAGGAAAAAATGATTGATTATATACAATATGGTTGCATTGGCTCCTGTGATTATATACAATATGGATGCATTCTGAATAATTAGTTTGGTATTCTTGTTTTTAAAAATATTATTGTTGTTTATTTTTTTTTCTTGATTTGCTAATAGGAGAATAGTATGCAGGAAACAAACTTTTAATTTATTTATTTCGAGCAAATTATACTAGATACAAATTTTCCACTGTCTTACCCATCTCCATTATAATATACTGGCCTATATAACTTAATTACTAGCTTTTCCAGCATAATTTACAGGAAGCAACTAAAATTAGAACTCCAACAAGAAGTTGTAATCAGCAAACTTAGTGTTAAAAAATCTGAATTGTGCAGATCCAAGTATAAAATCTGGGACATTATAGTTTCTCAAAAGTATACCTCCAGCATAATATACAGGAAACAAATTTTAAATATTTAATTCCAGTAAGTTATTCTAGATACCAATTTTGCTACGTTTAT